CTTTAATGTGACACCTTATTAAAAGCCTTCTGGAAATTCAAGTACAGTATGGTTACCATATGTGTCAGTATGATTACCCTGATACCTTGGAGCATTTGCCACCTATACCAGCATATGGCATTGGATAAGAGTTCTTTAAGGTAGTTTGCTGCCATCAAATCTCTCTTGTCTTTGCTTTGTCTCGGGCCTATATTTATTATAGGCTGGTCTCAGAGGATACTCCGCCATAGAGCATCTACAGAACAGGCACTGTTCTTAGATAACAAGATGGTTTATTGCTTCAAAGCAATAAGTACAACTACATTTGATCAATCATAATTTCCATGACATTAAGGAGTTGGCACAACTACATTTGCTCCCCCTGAAACCTAAAGTAGAACTCCTTATCTCCACTCACAGAATGTGTGTGACACAAACATAATTGGTGGATCCAATGTGACATGACCACTGACCCTTTCAGAATCATTACCTTGTGGAAGAAGGATCAACAGAAGTAAGTCAGTGATGAGGGGTAGGTGTACAGAGTGGAGTGCAGTTGGGGTATAGAGTAGTGAAACAGCAATCTAATGGAATTCAGAGGACAGGACAGAGGCATGGAGGAGTTAAATGGAAAGGGCTTGATCCCCTGGATGTGATAGTGGTGATGATAATCTCAAGAAAATGGGGGCCTAAATGGTAATGTCCATATTTTCTAAGTAACTGCCTGTCTAGGGTGTTGATTGGTACAGTCCTAGTGTGGCTTTGAATTCACCGATGGGAAGGTGGAGACGTATGTCATGAATCCAGAAGCCATGGCTGATGCTCTTGGGAGATGGATTCAAATCCCGCATGGTCACTGGTAAAATTTAAATTTAATTAATAAATCTAGATTATAATGCTAGTCTCAGTAATAGCAACCATGACAATTAATGACAATAGTTGCAACATATCATCTGGTTCACTTAATGTCCTTTAAGGAAGGAATTCTGTTGTCCTTACCCGGTTTGGTCAAAGTATGGAGATAGCAAGAACTACAGATGCTGTAATCAAGTCAATATAGTGTGGAGCTGGAGGAACACAGCAGGTCAGGCAGCCTCAGAGGAGCAGGAAAGTTAATGTTTTGGGTCGGGACCATTCATTAGGTGATGCCTGATCTGCTGTGTTCCCCCAGCTCCACGCTGTATTGGCTTGGTCAAAGTATGGCTTGAAACACACAGCAATTCTTAACTCCCCTCTCCAATGGACTGACAAGCTAATCAGTTCAAGGCTAGTTAGAAATAGGCAACAAATACAGGCCTTGCCACATCACACGAAAAAACTTTCAAAACCCACAACATATCAGTTATTGCAATAGTTTTACAATGCAGAGAATGACGGATCCAGTTGAGCCTACAAGTTCTGAAATGCCCACAGTGATGAGTTTAACACTAAAGTGAATATTCAGTCATGAGTAAACAAATAAAACACAGTTCTGTTTCTTCCGCAATGAAAGAAATGCCCCCAATTCCCATATAGCCATCAGTCCACAAAGGTGGCATGGGCATTACCATGCTTTACCAATGGAATAACCTCCATAACACAGTGAATAATGAAACATGTTCACAAATTTATCGCTCTGTCACAGTTAGCCTAAACAAATAATGGATGAATAAAGTGAAACCATTGCATTGTAATGTGAAATTTTTACAATGGAAATTAAAACTTGAGAAACATCGTTGTGCTCCCAGTAAGTGCTATGTTAATGGAAATGTGTTGATGGTAATGCAGAGCCTCCCTGTTTGACCAGGGGGTTCTCCTAAAGCTGACCAGCAGTTACAGCATAGTCAACAGAAAGTGGATTTCACTATGAAACTCTCTGCCATTGTGTGATTGCATGCATATACAATGTGTGACACCAGTACTTCACATTTTAATTGTACTCATGTGGGAAAGTGGAAATGTAAGAAGTGGTGTGTACTTCTCATTACATTGTTAGGAACGGGATGCACTTCCTTCCACCTGTTATTTTTCCCTGGTTTTGTTAGTGGTCGGAATGCCAAGTGTACAAACATTGGCTCTGCTCGCAGGTTCCCAATTTAGAGGGGGACCAAAACTTGGATTTGCTCGCAAGCACAATTAACATCTGATGACACAGGGTTATGGAATTAAAAGCAACCTAGATTTAAGAGTGCTGAAGGAAATGAGCGGGAAGTTTAGGCACCTTTAACTAATGTTGGAAGCTGAGCTGCTGTGTTGGAGAATTGAGACAAGCCTTCTAATTGCTCACCTCCAACAACCACAATTCCTACCTACTCCATCATAGCACACAATACACACTGCAAACATAATGCTTGCATATAAAGACAATTGCATGTGAATTCACACATAAGGCAGGATGCTGTTTTGGAGCTGCAAACATGAGCAGTTTGGGTATCCCCACTCCCGAACAAAGATTTGTCCCCTGATCTACTATTTATCTTCACAGAATTATATATCCTTCTTTTCAATTCAATACCATCTTTACCATCCTTGATTAGTCACAATGATCTATCTTTCTGGTTGACACTCTTTTTCAGTGAAATATTTCTTTGTTGAGAGTTATAAAGTATGTCCTTAAATGTCTACAATTAGTTCTCTCTGACCTAATCTATTTTTGCAGTATACTTTATCAAAAAGGAAAGCTCTGCATAATGCCCTCTGCCATGTCTGGGCTGGTTTTAACCTTAAAATCCAGTAAGCTGGAAAGGATGTCTTTCCAAGTATCCTGAGCTGGGGGAGGTGGAGTTTGCGAGCATCAGATCATGTTTCAATTGACTTAATTTAAATTTAGATTTAGAACACTAGATTCAGAACCTAGATTTCACTTAGGGTATGAAAGTAAGGTCTCAAGCTTAAATCAGGGCAATTGCAAAGGTATGAAAACATAAAATCTCCCACTACCCACCAACCTTACACATTGCTCAAAGCGTCACACCTCCAACATTCATCTAGCACCGAGTGTTCACACTCAAAACTCACACTTAACATTCAGATACCGTCACACATGAGTCAATGCTGACAATCTCACAGCCACCTCCATTTGCCTGAGTAATTCAGCTATGGTCAGCATATCATCTGAGTATAATGCAAAAATGATCATTCATATTCTGTCCACTCTTTGCAAGGCAGAAGGAAGCAGAACATAACAGTCAGGGTCAAGAACTCCATAAACTCTTCAGTATGAACCTGTTGGTTTTCTGCATCATAGTGTTGGCCGTGGAAGAACAAATGGCATCCAAAAGTAATGAGAACAGTGACAAGGACAATAAGTTCTTGCTTTATGGCCTTCCTCGGATCCCAGCTCCCCTTCATCCTACTTGGTATGATGAGCAAGTTGGTGATGGTGTGTCCATTGATATCTTGCTTTCCATCCTAATCCCTCTTCCTTCATCTCAACGATGTCCTTGGTTGACAGTTCACAGCTCCTGTTTTCAGATATTTACAGACTGCTCCCAATTCAAATAGAGCATCCCCAGGAGGAGAAGGGAGAGGGACAGCACAGCACTGACTTGATCTTATA